AGTGCTGTTGAGAGGGGGGAGGTGGGGGGGGGGGGGGCTTCTAGGCTGCTCTGCCAAACAAGTGCTGAATATCGTAGAATGCATAGAAGCATAAAAACATTTTTTTTTATTTACTTCCTAAAAGAATTTACTTTGTTATATCCTGAAAGGACAATTTCAGTTAGTTTAAATGAGGTTTTAAACATACACAGTATATTGTGAATTTCACTTGATTGCAAATGAACTCTTAATATATATTTTAACAATAGTACATCGTATGTGTAACAATGAGTGTTTGTGCATTGCAAAAATGTGATTACCCTACACAATCGTATGCTGCACTTTCGTTATTGCGATTTCTCACAATCTTTTTTAAAAAGTGAAAAAAGATTGTGAGCTCTTCCATTCTGTCGATGACCAGTGAAGCTGTCCAGCAAACAACACAGAAGTGACCCGAAATTTCGAGTCCTAGGTTTTTACTAGCAGTGGGTTTGCATAGCCTGCAACTAAATCCAATACCATGTGTGTCCAGAACGTGCCCTCTGAACTTAGTGGATGTCATTTAACTGTTTGCTCTTTGAGCACCATCTTGGTGATCAGAAAGAAAGAACAAATGGGCATGGCGTGGCACACAGCGTGAAGGTATGACATCTGCTGGTCATTAAAGGGGCACTAAAAGGAAACAAGAAACAATGACTTGGTTTAGATTGGCAAACTGCACTGTGAAAACTGTAATGCCATATTGTCACGAATTTAACTCGGTAGTACTTGCAAGGGAATGGATTGGAAGAGATTGGCGTGGCAAAACAAACACACTTCATACAAAGGACAGACAAAGCTAATACATGGACTTCGCGTTTAGCACTAAAAAATTAACTCAACAACACAATCTATATGTACACCTGTCTCCTACAGACTAAAACCAAAACTAACTACAATATGCGTTAGAGCCAACTCTATGGCTCTATTAGTGGCATATGAACTTTCGTGAGTTGAGGGGCAAGCCTACCTCACTCGTCAGCCAATATATATATATATATACCTTGTATATAACCTTGTAACAATTTCATTCTCCCGTAGAAACCTAATTGAATGATCACTTATTCACTGTTGTGATGGAAAACTACACCTTACTTGTTAGTTTCCCCAGCATGTACTCAAGAGTGACCACTGTTGAAAGTGGGAAGGCTCAGCCCCCCCAACTTTTCTCAGTGAGAGAGCTTGCCCTCCCCCCCGGCTGACCCGCTTATGAGCTCTATTCAACATCTATTCAAGATTGCGTTTCTGTAACGAAACATTCTTACAGTTCATCGCATTGCCACGTCGACTCGATGCTCTTGCTATGTCGACGGTTCGTCGATTCTGCCGTCGACGTCCTCCAAGTTCCTAGAGTCGAGAACCTTTTCGGCCAAACGAGCCGCTTGACGTCATTTCCGGTTGGTTCCAGTCTTTGTCGTCTTCACTGGCTCAGTAAGGCAGAGCCTTACTGAGCTAGTGAAGACAAGCTTCATGAAACATGTTTCCCAATCATAAGTTCATCATTAGAAGAAAAAAAGTACGGTTGAAGTCTTGTGTTTAAATTTCTCGCCAAAATCACCGCACAAAACATCAAAAAATTTTTTATTTATTTTTTTTGCCTTCTTTGCAATATTAGTAGGATGAAACTTTCTGAAGCTTCGTATGCTAGGTCTATGGCACCCACTCATGACAATGTGCTACATTTTTTGCCAATTATAAGCTATGTAAAACCAAGTGAATGCTTTAAAAATCTATGACATCATGGTGTTTAATGCGGGAATCTCAAGGTGGCATCTCCACCTACATTTTCTTTTAGTGGCTTTTCTTGCTAACCAAGCGTCGTGTTTTCGGGATTGGGAAGTTGTACTTTACTAATACACAAAGATAAGTTTTCTATTCAGTCTCCCTTAGGAGTAACAGGCTGGATTTCAAGAGAAGGCAAGCGCACAAGTGGGCGACAGAAAGCTAGGTGGGCAGAGGAGATTTTAAGGAGTTTGTGCGTACGATGTGGCCGCAGCTAGCACAGGGCCCGGTCAATTGGCTGAACAAGGTAGGGGCTTTTGCCCTATAGTACGCATAGTCAGGCTAACGATTAGAATTTTAGCAGCATGCTACTTGCATCTTACTGCCGCACTATCGGTTTGACGACATGCATCGTCTTGTCTGGCTCGCCACATGTGCCTAGCGTTTCACGCACAATCTTAATTGGCGTTTGCCACCTCCACGTTCCCTTTTTCAGCAACTAGCATCGAGAGGTGGTTCGGTCGAATTTGTGTGGCAAATATGGTTTTGCTGATCCACAGCAAAAATACATGGAATCCTAGCCGCTTACAGCTTTGCCATAAAAATGTGAGCCGTCACGCCAATGTGCACAGCACGAGTGCTGCACGTTCGTAGAAAATACTAATTGTCCAACATTTGAATTGCCAACTTTGGACACCTCTGTCACGTTTCCCTATCACTCTCCCAAACGCGGATGGACCCCGCTGTCAATATTCTGCCTCAGGTTTTATCAGACGCTACCCCCCTTGCAAGTTTTATGTTCGCTTGCAAGTTTTATGCTGAGGGTGCGAGTTGTAAAGGCTCGATGCACCCAGTCTTACTACACGCCCTGTGAGAATGAATGCAGCAGGCGTGTTGCAAACAAACAACCCTTTGGATTTTACGTGAGCTAGGAGCTTACCCGACATCTCTGTTCCCACGATGGTCTTGTTGGTGATGCCCTTGAAAACCTCAAGTGCACAAGAGGCCACATAGCCTATCTCGGGGCCAAACCTGAAAGACTAGAGGGCCAGAAATTAGTGACCACCATGATGAAGACAGCAACTCACAAACGTGTGCACTCATGGAAAAAGAAAAGACTTCAAGTGGGGTTACTCTTATGCCAGAAGTGAACATCCACTGGCCCTAACACTACAGCGCAGCATATGTGGGACCTATAGTACTGAAAGTTCAGTTGGTATGGATGCATTTTTGGTTCCAGTACAAGAACGACAAACACGGAAAACAGAAAGGACGCGAACGAGCTCTGACTCACAACTGAAACTTTTATTTGAAGAACAGAAGAACGTGAAAAAATCATGAAAAAAAAGCGTATCAACATTGCTCAAAAGTGCTAAAAAGGAATATAAAAAGTTACATAGGATATCACTTGACAGCACATGTGCTAAGAAGATGTGCGAACCTTTTTTCTGTGAGATGTAGCGATGCCTCACTGATGCAGCATTCATCCATTCGATTAACATGGAAAGCCTTTATCACTACTCTAGCTATCTGGGATCTGTGCATCGACAAAATCTCTGTATTGATAAAAACAGGTGAACAGCCTCATGTCCTGCTATGTGATGCCAGATGCGAAGCGTTCGGATTGTTGAGCGAATTTCTGTGCTCTCTTAAGTGCCCAGTAATCCAATGGCCACTCTGCCCTACATGTAACAGCCCATATGCAAGAGAGATCTGGTAAACTATACCGCGCTTGCAAAACACAAATGTGGAAACATGATTAATTCCACCGCAACTTCTTTCCTCGTCATTTTTGCTCCATTTTCTTCTGAAATATTGGACCGATTCTAGAAAGTATTTCAGGAGCCGAGAAGACTGATTTTACCCCATACTTGTCCCCAGCAATGCTCAAACCATGCGACAGTTTATGTATATACAGTAGTACTGCTATTGCTTTGTAGTCCTGCAGTGAACTTTTTTTCTGTTAACAGGGTCTTGACTTTTAACAAATTTTATTAGCTTCTCTGTACACATAGCTAGCACATGTGTTGGGTACCCGGCACTTTCCAGCCACTTATTCTGTGCAACGATAATAATTGGCTACAGTTTGGCAGTTAACACTTCCAATGCACAATTATCGCGGAAGTTGCCATTTATGTGCAGCCTGGCACAGCAGGTCAGATTGACGCAGAATGGCAGCAATTGGAGCTGTACTTCCACCCCTGAACTTGTGTGGTTTGCTTTGCTGAATTATCTCACTTTATAATTATGCGATCGAAATTTCATTTTCTTTTTTTTTTTTCAAACATGGTGATCTCAAGCAAACTTTTCGCACAAATCCCTTGACATTTTACAGGCTCCCACAAGCGAATGCATTGATAGCATTGTCTCCCAAGTCTGCATAGAAGATTTGCATCTCTCGCCTAGAGCAACAAATAGCTGCCACAGTGTTGTGGGCTCATCATCATCACTGGAGGTTCCTGCACAACTCCCCCTGTCTTATCTTCATTGTGTTGCGTTCCTTTCTTGAGGAGGCCGGGCAAGGACCACATTTACGAACAATGACTTTTGAAAGTAAAGCAAAGTGATTAGCAGTTTATGGGTCATGGCAGTTTTGCACATTGCCAACCAAGGTAATACAGTGGACTGGGAGCGTCATTTAAACTGGTGACGCCGCAGCATCTAGCGTTATTTAGAAAACATCGCCGAAAGTGATCACTTGCCAGCTGAAGGAGCCTGTGTTGTCAACTGTTATAGCAGCACTTGTCTGTGTCTTTTCTTGTGTCCCTGTGTTGAATTCCGTGCTGTTCGTACTTCATAATGTTATAGTGGCACTAAATTAGAAAACTGTGGTACTGCAGGTGATCAAAAACTGATTTGTGCTGTATATCGTGAGTTGCAGAGTTAACACAACAGCGCAGCTGTGTTTGGCAGGCACTGTGGGTGTCTATCACCCCCTGTAAAGTTGTCTTCACCTCTAGGCACACGCGCATATCGGGGATTAGTCACAGTTAAGTTTAACAACCATCAAGTGAGAGGTTGCGCTGTACTCGCATGGGGGTGCCAGCAGCACCAGCCAGCAGGAGTGGTTACGCCGGCACACAGAAGACAGTACCTTTGGCATTTCGCAGTGTGCATGGATGAATGTCTCCTGTGGTGGGTCCATGGGGATGACCCCGCAAGATCACTACAGCTTCAACTACAGTTTAAAACACTAACAAGTTTTCCACCTTATCAACACATAAACACGTACACTTAAACCTCAATACAGTGAAACCTCGTTAAACCGAACCCCCTTAAACAGTAGTTTCGTTTTAAAAGTAGTGAAGTCGAATCCCCGACTCGGCGGCCATTGAACATAATGCATTTTGTATCCGCATAAACCGTACCAGCTTATCACGTATGTATCAGTTAATAAGTAGTTTCTCCAATTTCGTTGCGCACTCCCCACGGCATGTCGTCCCCCACTGGGCGTCCCGACAGAACAGCAAGCACCAGAGATCGAAACACGCCTCGCTTGTTTGTATTGATGATGATGGCGGCTGTGTTGATGAGCGCCACCTCTTGGATTTTCGTGCAACAAGACGCACTCGGCCGGCTAGGCTTCTGGTGTTGTCCACGCGATGGTGCTTTGCACAAACACACAAACACGGTGTGCGCTTGCTTTGCGTTCTTTGTTCCTTTGGCGCCGTGCATATGTGTTCTCTGCTTCCGTGCCGTACAGCTCTCGCGTCGTTTTTCACGTGCTGTGTATGTGTGCCTGTGCTGCTTCGTACTTGCATCATGCTGAAGATGGGACAAAAGCATCGTGTGCTGAAAATAGAGGACAAATTGGACATAATTCGTGCCATTGAAAGTGGCACGAAAAAAATCGGCGCTGGCATGCGAAAAGGACCTGCCGTTAACTACGGTGTGTGGAATTTGGAATTCCAGAGAGAAGCTGCTCAGCAGTGCCGCTGCAACTGCAAAAAGGTGCCGGCTACACAGTTCGACATTTCCGGATATAGAGGAGGCGCTGATGAAGTGACTGAAAGCTGCACGGTCGAAAAATCTGCTTATCAGCGGGCCCCTGCTTGTGGAGAAGACCCTGGTTTTTGCCTCGCAGCTCAACCATAACAACTTCGTGTGCAGCAAAGGCTGGCTGGCCAGATTTAAGGCGAGGCACGAGCATTACCAAGGGGACTGATTTCCGGAGAAGGTGCTGCTGCTGACGTGGATGGCGCGAAGCAGTGCAAAATTGTCAGCTCAAGAACATCTTGGTGGATGGCCGCGAAGCAGTGCAAAATTGTCAGCTCAAGAACATCTTGGAAGACTACGCACCTGATGACATCTTTAATATGAATGAATCAGCAGCTATTCTTCAAGCTTCTAACAGACAAAATGCTCGCGTTCAAAGGCGAGACTGTGCACCGGCGGCAAGCATGCAAAAGACAGAATATCAGTGGCGTTTTGCGCAAACATGACTGGAACCGACAAAACTCCGCTCCTCGTGATTGGAAAGACGGCGAAGCCTAGATGTTTTAAAGGCGCCCGATTGCTTTCAGGGGTCATCTATCGCAGCAACACCAAAGCATGGATGACGGCAAAACTCTTTGAGGAGTATGTGCGCCGCATCGATCGCCGTTCGCGGCTAAGAAGAGAAGAGTTGTTTTTATTTCAGGCAACGCCTTCGGAGCACGGCGCCCTAGACAACCTGCTGGCTGTGAAGTTGGCGTTTCTGCCACCAAACACAACAGCAATTGCCCAGCCCTTGGACCAAGGCATCATTCAAGCTGTAAAACAGCTCTAGCAAGAAGAATCTGCTGCGCAGATTTCTTCTCGCCATTGAACTGTGGCAAATTATTCTCCATCAACCTGATTGTCGCGATTAACCAGCTCGAATACTCGTGGCGGCAGGTTGAAGCAACGACAGCTCAAAATTGCTTCAAATGTGCTGGACTTCAGTGTGTGAGGGGGGACGCAGATGACGCTAGTGACACCATCGACCAGACTTCGAACATTATAGACGAAGCTTACGAAACTCTGCTAGATGAAGTGCTGGAGCGGCAGGGCGTTACGGAAGGCATTTCTTTCAGCCGACTTCAGAGATGCAGACAGCGATGTGCAGACATCTCCGGACATGTCAGACGAAGCCATTGTTGCCTCGGTTGTCGAAGTGTCGCCAAATAATAGTGATGAGAACGACAACATGAGTGATCCAGTCCCGACAGTGCCCGAAGCTGCGCATTGCGTTAGCGTCATGCGGGTATTCACCGAGAAGAAGGGGCTGGCGGAAAAGATGGCTCGCAGCGTAAGTGAGTTTGAGCCCGCTATCGTTGCTGCTAGGTCGCTGTGTCGTCAAATGCAGATTACAGACTTTGTCACCCGAAGTTAATAAATTACTGCATGTTTTTTGTTCTTTCATCGCACTCCCTGAAGGTTTCTTTTTTTTTTTTTTTTTACAGGTAAGTGGGAGACCTGACACTATTTCGGTTAAGCAGTACTACCGGTTTAGTACGTACTTTTACCGAGCTCTGGCCAACTACGGTTTAACGAGGTTTCACTGTATAACGAACCCAGATAAAGTGAAATATCAGTTATAACAACGTAAATGAAGAGCACTGTTGCAATAGATGTAGTGTTAGAAATATACCTTTACAGCAATTTTTTGGATATAACGAACTTGTTTTTATGTATAATGTAACTTCGTTATAATGAGGTTTGAGTGTAATTACAAAAAAGTCTTTAAAGTGGTGGCTGTACTCTGTAGCACTCCCACAAGTTATGCTAGGAGCTGTCACGCAAAATATTGTTCTAGTTTTTCGTTAGACTTCAACAACCCTTATTTGACCAAACTATTGCATTCTCACAATTTACAAGCCCACTGCCCTAAAAGACATGTCCAAAATAACTCGTTACTTTAATGCTACATCGCACGGTCAGTACCTGTGTTAGGCAGAATGTGTGAGTGGCAGGAACAGTGGAAAGAGCATCGATCGCAGTGCCGGAAAGAGTAGATCTGCTGGTGGGGATCGCCGACCAGGAGTTTGGCACACGGTTGTCTCAGCACCAGCGAAAGCATGGCTGCAACAAACACACCACCAATAATGCAAACATGGCCTGGTAGACCCAAAAGGCAGTATCAATGCACAATCGTGCAAAGGCACCATCTCTGAAGTTCATGCCGACTTAACACGATGGCCGTACACAGCAGATGCCGTGTGGATTTACAGGAATTCAGTCATGAATTGGGAGAAAAGCACCTTGTCATGGTTTTTTTTTTTTTTTGCTTTTTCACGGGTCCCCTAGGAAGCAGCTCTTTTTTGAAACTTCCACTGCACAAGCATCGAGACATCTGAAAAGTGTGCTGGTAGGCCTTCAGAGTTGTTCTGGACAGGGCTATGGTGATTTCACCACTAATTGAAGTAAAAGAAAAGTGTGATGTTTATTTTTATACTCTCCTATCTTCTGGACGATCTTGTGGTTCCTAGGAAGTTTGAGGAATCAAGCATGCCCTGAAGCCAATGACAATGCAAACTCTTTTATATCCATTAACCTGCTACAGTTGTGACATTTTCTTTAAAAACTGCAAGTTAGTTCTCAGGTACTTAACTCAGCTTCATTATCAATGATTGTATCTATTAAAAATACAGGCTCCTTGATTAAATCTTCTCCTTGTTATACATGTTGAAGCAGTTATATAGGTTATATATATTGAAACACTTATACAGGTTATACATATTGAAACATCTTTAACCCTACACTAATACATCTAATAACTCATAATTCTTGTACCAGGGTTGCAGTCCTGTGCTTCGTCAACGAATATGGCATCATAAGAGCCCAGTGATGGTTGTCGCAGCTGGTACAGCTTGAGGTAGCCGTCATGCGTCATCCGCGCCTCCACATCGTTCCTGTCCTTCATACGAGCCCAGAGTTGGCTAGCTGCCTCACACACTGCCTGCAACAAACCGCAAAAAATGAACCGTCCTGGAGCAAAAGCTTGAAAGGACTCTTAAAGAGTGGATTATTCCAAGGCAACAAAACTGCTCTTTCAAGCCTTATCTGTAAGGCTGTAATGAATATCAAACACTTAAGAATAATACCTAACTAGAATATTGTCCAATTTAACTTCATTCTTGAACAGAACAGTAATTAGTATCCGGAAATAAAAGTATAGTGCTGATAGTGTTCATAGGAAATTACTATAGTCAGTACTGCAAAACCAAACATGAAATGAAAACAAACGCAACAGCTTTCATTTCACACTGAGGTCTGTTAGAAAAGTATCGAATCTTATATTTTGCGAGCTCCTGATGGATTTGAAACAAGCACGCTTGCATCAGCCGACCTTGAACCTCCGTGCGCATGCGTGAATTTCTTGCCGCCTGCCAATAACGTCAGCCGCTGAGACGCAGCATTTTAAGTGAGGTAGTGTGCAGTGGGCTTGTCGGTTTTTTAATTGAAAGGAAAATTATTGCATCAAATTTTGCTGGAAACTGCGCGACAGCCAAGTGCAAACCATTGGGAAGATCAAGGCGGATTTCGATGACGATGCCACGAGCCGCACACAGATTAAGAAGTCGTACAACCGGACTAGAAATGGCTGCGCATCAGGTGGAGAGCGAGCCACGCTCGGTTGGCCATCAACATGCCAAAAATGACCAGGTCATTGCCAAAGTGAACGCTGTGGTGATTCCAGACCGTCGTGCGACTATCTGAGAAATCGCGAAAGAGGTGGGCATCAGCACTTTCTTTGCACATCCCATTATGATCAAAGATTTGGCCATGAAGAGAGTTGCGGCTAAATTCGTGCCGATACTGCTCCTGGTGGAGCAAAAGAAACTTCGTGTTGAAGTCTCACAGGACATGCTGGATTTCGCAAACAGTGACCCTAACTTCATGAACGACCCGGAAACTAAATCCCAGTCTTCACAGTGAAAGCATTCCACGTCACCAAGACCAAAAAAGGCTTGCCAAGTGCACAGCAATGTCAAAGTGATTGCTGAGGGCTTTCTTTGACTCCCGCGGTGTACGCACCACAAGGTCAAACAATCACCAAAGAGTACTACATAGATGTCCTCTGTCGCCTACGTGATGCTGTGCAGTGCAAGAGACCTGAGTTGTGGTCAACAGGAAACTGGCGCATGCATCACGACAATGTTTTTGCACATTCTTCACACTTAGTTTAGACTTTTTTGGCGTAAAGTCAGACTCCTGTTGCTCAACAGACTCCTTAGAGTACTACAGAGATGTCCTCTGTCACCTACGTGATGCTGTGCAGTGCAAGAGACCTAAGTTGTGGTCAGCAGGAAACTGGTGCATCGATCACGACAATGTTTTTGCACATTCTTCACACTTGGTTTAGACTTTTTTGGCGTAAAGTCAGACTCCTGTTGTTCAACAGACTCCTTACTCTCCTGATACCTGATATAGCCCCCTGCGACTTCTGGCTGTTTGCTAAACTCAAGAGGACCTTGAAAAGAGAGCGATTTCAGACAAGGGAGAATATTATGGCAGCAGAGACAGCTCAGCTAAACTCCACTTCAAAACAGGCCTTCTCAGAATGCTTCCAAAAATGGCAGCACCGCTGGGATAAGTGTGTGGAGTCCCAAGGGGACTACATTGAGGGCGATTAGGTTTTCAATGCTCGTAATGTGCCAGTTTTTTTTTCCTTCCACCAAAGGTCGGGTACTTTTCTAATAAACCTCCTTTGCCATATGCAAGCTTACTGCAATGGTTACAATACACGACTACGTGATCTCTTATCGACCATACTGTCAAGCAAAGCAGCTTTATGCCTGGACAGAGCTTATTGAGTTCTGTTGATTCTAATACAATTACATGTAGGAGCGAAAATGGTGCATGAGAAGAGGTTTGCAATTCGATGCCCGTAAAGTATGTGCATGTCTGGATTGGTGAAGAGGGGAGAGCGTGAGCCTGTGGCCCTGCAATCAAGCGGGCACTGGCAGCTCGGGGACAGGAGTGGTATGGCTAAACCCAATATGGTGGCTGTGCTAACTCTAAGAGCGGCTGGGCACATGTGTAGACCGTGTGCCTCTTCTCACAGATCATCTCCACAGGTTGAGCATCCCAACCAGCTTGCCTTATGTGAACTCTATTGCTGTATATTACTACTGCTGAAATTTGCATATTTACAGGTTCTACAGACGCATCAGATATGGGTGGCTAGGTTCGTTGGTGTTGCCTCACACGTCCAGCAGATGATGCAGTCAACAAAGTGTTATTTTGGCTGCAAGTGAATGAACCCCCCCCCCCCTTTTTTTTTGAGAATTTGGCTATGTTTTGACAACACGAATTTTATGTGATATGAATATTTCAATCAATCAATCAATCAATCAATCTCATTTTTATTACAAACCAAAGAAAAGATTACAAGAAATCTCGACCGTTAGCCTACATTGGCTAGTGATCGGTCGATATCGGAGTACATAAAAGCAGCTTAGTAGAGCATATTTAGCAATAAACACATATATACACAATTATTTATACATATAACTATTCACATATGCACATACATACTACATTCACATATGCACACATACTGCATACATAAGCACGTGTACATATATGCATTTTCACAACAGACCCAAATATAGTTTGTTTCATCATCATCGTCATATATAATAAGTGACTGGGTAAAAGCACTAATTAGCGCAGGAGAAAGTGAAAAAAAAAACTATTTATATGTCTTGATGCTGCAAGCAAAATAATTTCACACTGTGCTTAAAATTTCTTGCCACTTTAACTTCTAAGGGTAGTCGGTTCCAAATTTTAGTCCCATGAAATTCCAATAAGCGTTTTCCATATAAGTTATAGCTTGTAAGTAAGTTAAAATTGCCATTCATGACGGCACATGAGATTTGCATCATTGAGATCTTACTACCGTATTTTCCGGTCTATAAGTCGCACCCTTGTATAAGTCGCACCCCCCTCAAAATGGCAGTTTTTTCCAAAAAAAAACGTATGTAAGTCGCACCGGTGTACAAGTCGCACCTGCTCACCCGGCCATCGAGTGCCACGTCATGAGAAAGCACTACGAAAATTCATGCTAGAGACGGCCGTCGCGCTTGCAAGTTTCCAGCTGTTTGCACACACGAGTGCGAGCTCTTCCCAACATACATAAACACAATACTTTCAGTCTGAAGTATCTTTATTGCGATGGCTAGCAGCGTTTAATCAAATCCATCGAAGTCTCCGAGTCGCTGACAAATAGCGCAGCTATTTCGGGTTGTATTCCGGGCACGTCGTCCTCCGGCACGTCACTGTCGTCCTCCGACTCGCTCGGTTCGGACTAAACATCGGTCACACAGGGGATCAAACCGGTCTTGCGAAAGCCCGCCACAATGATCTTGTCAGATATTGAATTCCATGCTTCGCTCACCCATTTCGCCACTTCCCCTACTCAGCGTGTGTTATGCGCCCCGTTTTAGTGAAGCTGTGTTCACCCTTCGACATCCATGATTCCCACAAACGTCACAGGACGGCCTTAAAGCTGCGGTTAACCGAAATATCGAGTGGCTGAAGCATCTTGGTCATGCTGCCATGTATAATTACAGGCATACAATTCTTCGAACCTGATCTTTTTTTTTTTCGACAACGACGGTGATATGTGCCTGCATACTATCCATCACCAGCATTCCTGGCTTCACGTGGAAGAATCCGTAAAGTCGACGTGAAAAACAGCGGTCAAGCCACACACCCATCATTTCTTCATCCATCCAACCCTTTGTCTTCGCCTGAACCACCTCTGTAGAAAGGAAAATACCTTTCGGCAAGGTTTTTCTCCTAAAAATAAGCATGGCAGGCAGCTTGGTGCCGTCTGCGCAGCAGGCGAGCACAACGGTGAAGGGAGACTCCTCGTGGCCTGTTGTCCTCACCATGACAGTCTTTTGGCCTTTCTCGGTGACGCTTCTCCCAAGCGGGATGTCGAAGGTCAACGGCACTTCATCCATGTTGACAATGTGGCTCGCGCCGATGTTGCTCTTCGCTACTTCCTCCCGCACGAATGAGCTGGAGCGTTCCAGCTGCGCCTGGAAGTTGTCAAGAAGCTTCTGACACACTGTAGTGCAGGCTCTCATCACAAGCTGATTCGGCCGCATAAAGCGGAAGCACCACGACGGACCACCATTGAACCCCACAGTGTTTGTCTCCGCTGCCAGAGCCTTCGCCTTCAGGCGCAGCTGCACTGTTGATAGGCCTCTCCCTTTGGCTCTCTGTTGCAGCACCCCCGTTCGCAGACTACGCTCTAGGTCCGGCCAGCGTGCCTTCTTGCCGCGGTTGGCCTTCTTTGTAGACTTCATTGTCCGGAGGACGCTGTGGGCTTTGCGCCAGTCCCGGATCATTTTTTCGGCGACATCAAATTCCCTCCCTGCAGCATTATTTCCATGTTCTTCGGCATATTCAACTGCACGCAGCTTGAACTTGGCATCTAAACTTCGCCTACTTTGCCTTTCATGTGGAGCCATGGTGCCGTTGTCGATTAGCGAGGCCGCTGAGCCTACGTTACACGCTACGACTGGCACTACACACGCGATGCGCGCATCAAAGCAGCAGCCATGAGTGCGGACAAAAGTGACGGCAAAGGAGGCAGCTCGGAAATCCAAACTCGCCTTTCATCATTTAAAAATTTTAAAATCCCAGCACATTTTCACCCCTCTTTGAATATTTATTTTCTGTGCTAAGCTACATCAGCTGTGTTATTTCTAGAGAGTTAATTTACGACTACTTTTATTTTTTTGTAAAATGCGGTTTCTGTGCATGGCAAAAGGGGGCGCACGGCAATATCTAGGCTGCCGAAGCGCTGAAGCGGCCGCAGCTGCCGCGGCATCAAACCCAATTTTGACTGTATATAAGTCGCACCATTGTATAAGTCGCACCGACGAAAAATTCAGAAAACAACCGCGACTTATACACTAGAAAATACAGTATATATAAAAA